CTGATATTGAGACTTCGTGGAATTTTCTTTGGCGGACCACCAGAATATGCATGAAGATTCTCACCAACACAATAGACAACGTTGGAAATGGTCCGAATTTCAAAGCAGTGAGGAGGGTACCTAGGCAGTATTGGGATAAGGCGAGGTGATGAAATAAACTAAGGTACTGATCAACTTGGAGTGGACCGGTGGGCCTTGATAGGGTGTGATAGCGAGAATTTCAGCTAGAGGGAGTACCATGTAGCACTTATTTGGGTTTACACCTAAAAAATATTAAAGTTAGATATTTCCCTGCAAAGACGATTACATGTTTCACTTATATACGACTCAGTGTTTAGTTCAAAAGAATGAACTTTAAAGGAAAATTACTTACCTTCATTGTGCTCATTATACATGTTGATAGCGTCATTGGCCAGTATCCAGTAATGTTTTAGTCTTCGTTCTGGATCGGATAAGAGAAAGTGGATCATCCATCCCTCAACCTTTGGTTGTGTTGTATTTCTGCACGTCACTTGGCCTAAATTTATGGAATGCTTATGTCGAAAATTGGTTCGAATTAGTGTACGTATGTGCCACTGACGATAATTTACAACAAAGACATTAATAGGCACAAACAGAATCAGCACTGAAGAAATGAATCTTCATATTTCTTCTTACGGAAGACAATTGTATAATCTCTTATTACTCTTCATCTTAATATCATAGTATTTAGAAAGTCAGATATCGTGGAAAACGGTAACTCAAGAAAACTGTTAAGAAGAAAAAGTATACAAATTATTCTTAAAGGCAAAAAAAACGTTTTAAATCCGAGCATATGTGAGTTCTTCAAATGGCTCTAACTAGAACTTTATTGTATAATTCTAACTTAAGAATCTCTATTTATTATGTAGATATGGGGGATATTTGATTATCTGAGTTAAAATTTAAAGTTTAGCGATGCGAAAGGAGTCACCTGAGTGGAAAAGTAGAATTTGCTTTCTCCGACAAAAAGAAGAAGCTTTCTATACGAAAAACATCGTCGAAATTAGTTATAGATTACGCGCTTTTTTCTTCGCCGGTTGGCTTTTGAGGCCCCCAGCTTGAAGCAATCAGAAATACAAAGTTTTGTCACATTTTTTCATTGTGTCAAACTCCTTTATTATGAATTCGAAGTTACGCACGAGATCGCCTTTAATTTTGCAAATGAGGGATAGCTGGAGTGAACGAAAACCCAGATCAAACGTGGGTGTCTGCCAAGATGAACGATAGCTGCCAATAAGTATGCGTTACGCACATATGTGTCAATTACCTATACACTTATCGCCACGCCCTTTTGAGAGCTAGTCGCATGAAGTGTGTTTTGGAGATGGTTCAGTGGAATGACTGATCTGCAGTTTTCCTTAGCCAGTGCTGAAAGCTGCCTTATGAGGTTTTCCTTAAGAGTACTGCATCTGTTTCGCAAACAAGTCAAATAACAGTGTCATCTGCAGCACTTTCCTTCACTTTTTCCATTGTTTTTAAAATAGAT